ATCAGGAGAGTACAAGGATAGATGATCATTGAGCAGAGTTGTAGCATAGGGAAGGATCTGACTTAAGATAACCAAAGGTGGGCATGTTAACTTAGGGAAGGGATGGCCAACCTGTGGCACGTGTGCCACAAGTAGCTTGGGCAGCCTTTGTGTGTGGCACATGACAGATCAAGGAAGGGGTAGGCAGCCTCGGCACATGGGGCAGGAAACAAAAAGCAGAGCAGCGGATCAGACAGAGGAAGGTGATTGGAAACTGATTTGTGGTGCGCCTGCCAAAAGGGTTGGACCCCAGTGCGTTAGGGCTTTAGGAAGGAACATTTATGTTCATTTTATTAGCATTAGTTGTATAAAATTATTGTAGTCATAAGACTGGACATTGGAGCCTTACTAATTCCACTAATTACTACCCATGAACAAGGACTGCAGGACTGGATGTCCAGTTTCTGTTTTCTTTTTCTGTAGAAGCAAGCTGTAATTTTGTATTGCTTAATAATAAGCATATTAAATAAGTAATAAGCCATAACTTGCAATATATGGGTTACCCACAGTATTTAGCATTAAAATACATATGCCAGTAGATAGGTTTATTCAATTGGGCCTGGGCAAACTGTCTTCAATATATATGTATCTTGAGTGCCTCTGTTATTGCATTAAACTCTGAAAACACATTGATAGAGGAGAAAGATGTAGATTTTTATCTCTTTTCCATGTAATAAAAAACATCTTAAGCAGTTAGCATACACTTAAATGGCATCGTTCTTTTAATGAAAAGTCTTTGTTTTATTAACACTCGGCATCCATAGAAGTCTGGGATAGGATGTTACCACAGCTAAGGTCAAGAAATTGCTTTAACAATCAGTGCTGCCTCACCAGCCAGTCGGAGCTGCACATTTGCCTGTGTTCTGGGGGAAAAAAAGAATCTCTCTTTATAATGGCTATTTACATACATTACACACAAACCGGTTTAAGTGATCAGCAACTGGTCTAAACCTGTAACAGAACAGAAGTACAGTGCATGTAGACCTGTTTAAAAATGGCAGAACCTGGTCTAAGATTGACCTGGATGGATGTAGTATCAGATTCAATTGGTTTAGATTAGACCTGTCTGTCGTACTTCTGTAGCAGATCCTCTTCCACCTCAAGTTAGGTCACATTCCCCCAGCATCCCATGCTGCTTTGTGGCCCCTGCTAGTCCATCTTGCAGGACAGGCAGGTTAGCTTTGGCCTACGATTATCTGCTCCTGCTGAGTGCCAGGCCGACCCTGCCCCCAAGCTGTTACAGAGCTGAGGCAGCAAAGCATCTGCTCCCCAGCCCTGTGTCCTTCCTGTGCCTTCCAGCTGGACTAGGCAGTGGGAGGGAAGGGGGAGTAGAGGCCCCTATGCCAGCCCCCGCTCCAGCCAGCACCCCCATCTTCCTCCCACCCCCATCACTGACAGTGGGGCTGGAGAGAGAAGCCACACTGCCAGGCAGGCCAGGAAGCAGGGGCCCCCCAGCTGTTCTGGCTGGGTCTGGGGGGGCTGGGTCTGTGCAGGAGAGGCCTCCGCTTTCCCCCCTGCTGCTGCTGGCAGCCAGCTGCTGGTGGAGGGGTGGGGCTGGGGCAGAGATTCTACACTGGCTCCCTCCCTCCCTGCATCTAACAGCAGGGGATGGGGGGCGTGTGCCTGGCAGCCAATCGGGGCTGGCCAGTCATTCGGCTGCCCTCAGTGGTCTCCAGCATGCTGGGAGCTGTGAGTGTCCCCAGCCTGCTGGCCTTGGCCAGTACAGGCATGTGCAAGCTACCCTCTTCCCCCCAAACCCCACCCCCACACACACACACACGAAGGGCAAATGTGTGCTCTGTTTGCTCCCAATCTATGGAGCTTAGAGAAACCCATCATGGTTTCATCAATTCCGCCTCAGGCTTTTTGAATGTCTATCTAGCCAATGTGTATGACCTTGTGCTCCACTCATGATGTTCATATTGGGTTCTGCTGGTTGGTGAGCATAACAGCCTGTAGAAAAATATTTGACATTATTCTAAATTTAATTCTGTGTTGAGTGAGAGCCCAACTAATGATTTGATTCTTGATGCTCTTTCATAATGGAATCTCAGGTGGGGCACCCAGAAATTCAGCCACAAAAGTCACTAGTCATTTTTTAACATCTTGGCCAATAGCCATAACTTGTTGATGATACTGGCAGATGTCTGGGATAATACATCCCCAAAACATATTTTCCAACATGCTTTGCTGTGCCAGAATACATTGACATCTAAAGTAGTATGGAGAACATACATAAATCTTACATTTATTACATTTTCAAAACTCAGCAAGGCATGATCTGAACATATTTTGTGTTGCCTTGCATTCAATTTTGCAGTGTAGATTAATGTACCAATTAAATGCAAGTCCTACACCTATACACTGTATCCTAGCCACTGTGGTTTACAAGGAAATGGCATGAAGTGAGCAAGATGGCAGGAATGGTACCAACTATCTTGCCCTATATGCTTGAAATCTAAGTTGTTAGTGTGCCCCATAGCAAATATCCATGCCAGTTCAGGCCAGTGGAAGAGTACTGCTGTGGATTAAATAGTCTCTTTCTCTCTGCTCTAACCTC